ATAGAGTAATAGACCATTTTGAAAGCCGAGATAAAAGCAAAGGTAAATAAGAGAAGAATTTTGGTTGCTGGTCCAAGTACGTATTTTGCAGGTAATATAAATCCATTCAGAAGCATTTCCTTTGGTAAATTGGGACTTGTTGGTAAAGACATTTTGACTGTAACTTTCAATGTTTGAACGTAAAATGGTGACTTGTCTTAAAATCAGAAAGGGCATGATACTACTTTGCTCAGTTTCAGTTAGGTCTCAGGGTTCGCTAATCAATCAAAGATCTATGTTTTAACTAGCAAATATGAATACAATGAAAGCACCGTGCAAGTTGAAATCATCATCGATTTGTAATTATTAACGACAAAAAGGGTTTATTATCAAATTTATTGTGCATTTAATGAAATTTTCTGATTCTTTTCTGTTCTATTGTAACTAAAACTCAATCATCAATCAACTTTTCTTTACAGATTGATTCAAATTGTATTGAGAATACGAATAATTATTTTACCTTCACCAGACTATGACATATTTTCGTTGATTTGAAGACATAAAGGAAGCTCAGGGAAGCGCAAATCATAATAGGACAAGTCGTTTAAGAAAAGCTCATTTAACGAGGCAAGGTTTATTATTCGGAATTATTGTCCTTTATTGTGATTCTTATTGTTGTACAATTCTTTGCTTATCATTGATAAATTAAACTTGTCAGGGCAATTATAATGGTTAATGAAAGGGTAAACATGGATGTAATGAAACTGTTGTTTATGGTAAAGAGATTGGCGAAAGTAAAGCCAACGTCACTTAAGGCCATTCGAGCGATAAAGATGTCATTCTAAGAGAAGAAATCGAAAAGTCAAAAGTTAATTTTTGGGATTGATTGGGACTTTGTTATTAGCTTACTTCATGATACAAATGGATTGAGTTTAATTTGAAGGAAAGTTCATACAAATCTTCCAACCCTTGACGAGACAAGTTATTGACTGAAACCAAATTGTAAGTCAAGATCAGCAAATGGATTGTTTGGCACAACATGACAAATAGCCAAAACGGATCAATGTGTGTCTTCGGTCCAAATGATCTAACAATATTCATTATGTTATAAGAAAAGTATTCAACGAAAAATATCGTTATAAAGTAGCGATACAATTTATCAGCATGTTTTGTCGCCCGAACTGCATAACTGTATCTTTTCCTTAAATTTCTAATTTCATGGAATGAATTAAACACTTGTTTTGGTGTTTCGTTTAGATCAGCAATTTGTGAATTGATTTCATTGAAAGCAGCCTTTAAACAGATGCAGATATTACAAATCATGTTGAGAAGGAATAATAATCCAAATTCAATGAAAATATCACAAAGTATAAGCAAAGTTGCTTCGAATAGATTTTGAATACTTGATAGCCTGTAAATTATGCAAAGAGTGGAGTAACCGGTGAAAGTTATAACAAGAATGATGAGGCTCAATCGACGATTTCGTTTGATTGTTCGATGATCAGGTGAAATAGATAGTGATTCAATGGTGGCAATGAATTTTTTAAAATAATTCAAATCAAAGCCAAATAGAATCAGCAAAACTTTAAGCGAAGAAATAATTACTGCTATAGAGACATGGACGCACTCAAAGATCGAGACCCTTGTTGTGTAATTACAAAACGGGAGAGCATAAATAGAGTAAACGACTATTTTGAGAGCCGAGAAACAAGCAAAGGTAAATAAGAGAAAGATTTTGGTTACTGATCCAAGTATGTATTTTGATGGCAATATAAATCCATCCAGAATCATTTGCTTTGGGAAATTCGGACTTGTTGGAAAAGACATTTCAACTTTAACTTTTAATGTTTGAACGTTAAATGGTGACTTTTCTTGGAAGCAGAAAAGGCGCAATACTAGTTTGCTCGGCTCAATTAGATCTCCCAATAAATCAAATATCTATGATATAACCAGCAAATATGAATACAATGGAACGGTTGAAGTAAAACTATGAAAGCACAAGAAAGTCAAATTTAATTCGCATCGATTTGTAATTATTAATGACAGAATTCGTTTATAATAATTTTTATTGTGCATTTAGTGACGCAAATAATGAAAATTTCTGACTCTAATAGATTAATTCTTGTAACAAGTTTATTCAATCAATCATTCAATTCTGAATTAGAATTTTTCTTCACAAATTCGAATTGCATCAAGAATACGAATCGCACCTTTACCAGAGTATGACATATATTCATTGATCTGAAGACATAAAGGAAGCTCAGGGAAGAGCAAATCATAATAGGACAAATCGTTTAAGCAAAGCTCATTTAACGAGTCAAGGTTACCAACTGATCAATCGATATCGAGAATTCATTGGTAGCAAAAATGAAAGATGTTTCAAAGCAAATGCGAGGAAACGCATGAGAATAGCACTTGAGCCTTTAATGAAATTAAGAATCGACATCTTGACAGAAAGTCTATATACGAAAGAGCCTTAAACGGCTTACAGGCGTCAATACGGTAATTGAATGGCAAAAGGGAGAAACGATTTCTATTTGCATACAAAAGAGTTGCTCAAGTTGATTGACCAAAGTAAAAGTTCAACTTGTGCATATAAATTATCATTAAACAGCAAATGTGCAAACAAATTGAATGGTAATTCAGTTTCTCTTTCCTCATGCAGACTGGATCACATAACATGATTACCCAACAAAACTGCACATAATGAAAATCAGAGTCAATCAAGAATTTTTGCGAGAAAAAAAGTCGCATAGAAAATACAAAATGACGATAAAAAGTCTGATCAACATTAGAGCAACATTCGACGTTGAAAGTTGAATAACACTGAATATCATTAGCATGTTTTAATTGAATTTACAGTTAAAAAGATTCGCCATTGTTGATGTAAACAAAGAGCTTCCATGAGCCAACGTTGACAATCATTAATCCTTTAAATGTTAACCATTTCCTTTACCTTTCACTTGTCCAAGTTAATTATTTTTGATTGATAATTAAATTAAATGCGTTACCTGTAAATGACTGTAGCAATGATTGAGTTATAATCATAACAATGCTGTTTGGATGTTAATTGAAGTTGACTAGAAAAGGGAACAATTTTGTCTTCCTTTTTTGCCTCCTCATTCCAAGATAAATTGTCCCAAAGATGATCAGGTTGATGGAATTAGAATTTTGATGAGAATTGATGAATAGCTGAACATTATTTGCTTCTGAAATTGTCTTGAAATTGAATTAGAAGAGTATCAATGAGAGAAGCAAGTGAATGATGATTATGGTAGATTCATAAGATGATGAACTTGGAAATCTCTTGAGATGGAGAAAGGATTATTTCTGTAAATAGTCATGATAACTGGCCACAATCAGGGAATCAAGTTTATCAATTGTTGAGGAATGAAAATTTGATAAACAAGTGAAGAAGGCAAAGTGAAGAAAAAGAAAAGAAGAAAAAAATGTAATTCATATTAATCCATGAATGGACCTCGGTGTGAGCTCACCCTGATTACTGGTAATTCAATTATATTATTACCTCCAAGTTGAACTCCCTGCTGATTGAGATAACTTTGTTAATTTGAAAGAGAAAATGAAAACTTTTATTCTTTCCAAAGTTAACATAATCTTTATAAATTGTTTCACATCAATTGATTGCAACTTGAATTTCGAGAGAAAACATTTTCTAATTCATTTCAATATTGCATTGTTTTCAATGAAATTCAACTCTTCATCGAGAATCGGAATAATCTTTAATTTTAATCCGATTAGTTTTTCGACTTTTTTGCACTTCTTTTTTTCCTCTGCAAGGTAAATGATCTAGAAATGAATAGAGTTTTTGTTTTCATTGTTTTTATTATTTTCATTTCATGTTTTATTCAGCTTTGATTCTTGATTCTGTTTTTTTTCATTTCTTGTCAAGATTGTGTTTATATTTAGATTGCGAGTAAATAATTAACTTGTGTTTGAGTCAACCTCGAGTTGAGAGGGTAAAAGGTCAAATGCTATTTATATTAATATCAAAAGAATGGGTTGATTGGGAAGGAATAACGTTTGTGAGTTATGACTTGAAACAGGGTTGAAATGAAGGAAAAAAACGTTCGGTATTTAAATAATTCATCAATCTATTTATGTGGGACAAAACAAACAAAATTATTTCCTCTCTTTTATTGTTACATGTTAAATGAAGATTATCAAAAAATTGAATTGATTAAATGAATCAAATCGAGATTAAATATTTACATGAAGGAAAAGAGTGAAAAATGACTTTTATGGAAATCATTTTGCACTGGGAACTTTGACTAACTTTGAATATCTGTTTTAACTTAGAAACTGGAGATTCTTCCAATGAGTTTTGCCACCAAAAAATGAGTTTCAGCTCATTCTCAGTTATCTTCGCTAGAAGCGAACAACTCGGCAGTAAATCGAAGTGACGCTTGTACGGAAGCAGAAAAATTTATTTCCAGAAACAATTGCATTTTCGATTGGTCATTGAGAGTTACACTCGAAAAAGGAGTTGATCCTAGCCTTGAATATTGGACGAGACAAAATGCTTCAACTTTCTTGTTCGTTACTAAATGTCTTGAATGGCAGCTTGATGAACCTTATCAATCCTGTTGAGTTAAAAGCTCATCTTAACATTATTCTAGCTCATTAAACGGTTTTTTATTCCAAAACTGGTTCAACCCTTTTTCCCATGAATTACGTGAATTGACTTTTTTCAGCTCAATGATTATGAAGTAGATAATTGACAACATAAATAGAGGTTGATTAGCATAATAAGAAAGAGAGAGAGAGAAAAGATGATAAAATAATTTAAAGTTTAAATTGAATTTTTTACTAACAAACTATCATTACTGAATATCAAATGAACAATTTGAATCGCTTTCTTGTGCGTCTGTAAAAATGAATTGAAGGTTAAACAAAAAAATGTCTCATTTTCCTTTCAAATATATTCAAAAAGAATAACCTTTTTTTCTCAATTTCACTATTTACTCAAATTAATTCAATATTTATATTTTTCCTTTACTCAGCTTCAAGAAGTAGTTCGACATCCATGGGTAACTGGGTAAGTATATCAAGAGCACCTTGGAATTCAACAAAAAATCATTTCTTTTAAGCGAGACAGAAAAGCCTAATAGAGAAAAAAATGAGTAAAAGTCGATCATAAATGAATTCCATGAGTTGAAGGATTAATCAAGTGGCTCAGTAAACAGATTTATAGCAATATTGACAGATGAAAATGTCAAAACAAACATTAACTAGCAACTGTCACTGACAGCATCAAAACATTTACCAACCTTTTACATAATGTGGTCAATCGATGAGCCTGAATTTTGGCGAAAAATAATCTTCTTTTTAAAATTTTCTCTTGAATTTTGACAAATTTTTTAATGAACTTTTTCTCTCTTTACAAAACAATTTGAAACTTGAACCCAAAGTGGAAGCAAAGCTGAACTCGAACTTGAATTACCAATGAAGGAAGTGGTTCAGGTAAGATTTGCAATTTTTTTCCTTCTTTTCTCAATTTTCCATTTTGCCTTTTCTCAAATAAATCTTGAAAAATTGCTCTTGAAATGCTACTTTCACTCTCACCTGTAAACTCAAGATTTCAATGCAAGTTAATGATAACCTTTCTTCTGGTTTCTTGTCAACTTGATAATGGTTCTGAAATGACTTGGACTTCTGGACAATCATTTACTGTGAACCTACCTTGAAAGAAAGAAAGAAATGCTCATCAAAAAGATTATTTGACTGAGAATAACTTTTTATTTCTCAATTTCTTTTTCTTTTATTATTAGTATTATCGTTATTTTCATGGTTTATTTCCTTCTCCAGTCATTCCTTTATTTCATACATTTTCTCGAGTTTCATTTTCTTTTCACATTCAATCACTTTTCTTCTGTCATCATTTGGGTTTTCACTTCAATTATTTTTACCTGAATCACTTTGATAGCAACAATTAAAGTCCATATTAACACTGCAACTTTAATCATTTTTCAATGGAACAATTTATCGATATTTTATTCCCTTGCTCCTTACCAACAAGGCCATTAACATTATAACGATCAAATCAACATTTATCTTTATCATTCCACAATTTATTGTTGCTTTTGTTTTTCAATCGAAAAGCCAATAATCTGATTCATTGTTCAATCTCAACAAATTAATGTTCACCATTGTTAGGTGATAAGTGACTTTGACCATAACTATTGTAACTCTATTCGAATGTTTATATTCGAAGAAATTCAAAGAAACTTTTCGATTTCAAGTCACAGTTGAGATAAAAATGGAAATTGTAAGTTCTCATGAAAAGACTCTTCGAACTTCCTTTCGAACGAAAATTTTTATATCGAATTTTTCATTAGAAATTCTTGGTTAGTCGAACAAAACTTGAAATTTTAATGAGATTCATTCCAAATTAAATGACATAAAGTGAAATGAAAGTTTTCAACTTTTACCTTCAATTTTTTGTTCCATCAACGAAGATGCTGAAATGGAAACTGAAAAAATGAATATTATCAGAATAATTATCTCACCGATTGAGAGATAAAGTAAATCCCTGAAAGTTGAAATGAAACAAAAGTTGAAACGCAAAATGGAAAATAGTAATTATAATAAAGCTGAAAAAAGATGAAAAGTAATTTTAATATTTTCTTTTATATTTTGCCTTCTTTAGACTCACATCATTCCTTCAGTTGATGATCTCGATCCTGATGTTTTGTCCAACATGACATCACTGGGATGCTTCAAGGACAAGGAGAAACTTCTAAGGGAACTTCTTAGTACAAAGTAATGATTCATTTTATTTTCTTTGTTCACAATTCTGATCATGATCAGGATGTAAAAGACATGAAACTGATCTGGTCGTTTCTCATTTCATTTTCTTCTTCCTTTTAATCCAGTCATAACATGGAAAAAGTAATTTACTTTCTTCTCTTGGATCGCAAGAGGAGACGACCTGCCTTTGAAGATGAAACTGAAGTCATCATTAGGAATCGATCGGAATCAGTTAAAACAGGTAACAATCGAATCTAAAGTTGAACAGAAACAAAAAGATGAACAAACAGATTCAATTGCAACTGGTCAACTCGTAAAGTCAAAGTTTCTGAGAATGCAAATTGAGTCAAATTGGATGGAAAAGAATATTGAATCAGAATTCAATCATGTGATTGAACCTCTTAATTGGTCTTCATGAAGTGTGAGAATGAACAAAGTAAAGAGAAAAAAGTATTTTCATTTTGTCCAGTTACAAGAGTACAAAGTGTGCTTTCACATCTTCATCAATTCAAGTGTCATCATCCTTTGCTACCTTTGAGCATCTTTAACTGCATCTTGAGACAAAGTAATAGAGATGGAAAGACATTAAATGAATGGTTTGCTGGTTGAAAGGGAAATGGTGACAGAATAAAAATAATACCAATGATTGAGTTTGAGGGGATAAAAATCAGGTTCCATAATCGCATGGTTTATAACAAATAATATCTGGAGTAAAGTTGAGACAAAAATAGGAACAGCTTGATTCAATAGATAAATAGGTTGAAAGTGAATGGACACAAGAAAACAGTTAATATGATCCATCAATTTAACCTGACACAATCACATTTACCTTGACAATTTTGTGCCCACAAGTTTCCCTTTTTGTTGCTCATTCCTGACACTTTCACTCCCAGCCAATAATGATGATAATAACAATAATATTATTTCATCTTTTCTATCTCATTGTTCATTATTGCAGGTTGAAGAGAAAGAAAAATATCTTTCTTTGTTTTTGTTCAAACTTTCAATGCCTTTATTGGTTCAATGTTTTATTGCTAGATTATCTTGATGAACCATTTCTTGTTTTCATTCAATATTCATTTAGATCCGCCACGTAAACGTGTTGATACTTGTTCAGCCGCTGCTCGATCAGGACCCAAATATTCATTTGACATGTTGAGCGATGGTTCACCCATAACTCCACGTCGATATCCTTTCAAGTAAGTTGTCTGATTGAGTCGTCTCAAGAATCATCATCACATTTGCCGGTGAACAGAAATCGTTGTCATGGAAACTATTCAAGATTATTCAAGCGCAAGCCAGAAAAAAATGAAATCTGGTTCCTTCAGTCAGGATTATTGACAATATGGTTACCGTAGAGTTGGAAAATGAATTTCGTTGTTACAAAAGATGAAATCTGTTGAAAAGATAGCAACGAAATTTCAAACCAGTTTCAAATTTTTCTCAGAAAATACAATATTTTCAATTTTTAATCCAATCAATACTTATTAGTCTTCCAAATTGGAACTTTTTGAATTCAGAATTTCTAAAAATCAATAATCTATCAAAAACAATTGGATTAGTTCGCTAATTGGATCAAATTATTGAAATATTCACAAAAATATGCGTTCCTTCAACTTATTGTCAGGAATCTATCTTTGAAAACGAGAAAATCCTTTTCTGGATTCAACATAACTCTGCTTGTTGAGCTTTCACATTTTTCAGTCAATTTATTTTTCCAACTTTGGAATTTCAAAGTTAAATTGAAGATTATTAAAATCCATGAAACAAGTTAGTTTTATCCAACTGATGACTTGTCGTTGCAAAAGAAATCCTGTTCAGTTCAGCAGGTTCGGACAAATAGTACATGTGTCATGTGTGTCGAGTAATAGGACGAAGCTATCATCCGAAAGATTCACTTTGACTAACTGGTTCTAATACCATCTATTAGCGGTAGCTCTAGAAACACCAAATTCACAAAATATTTCAACAATTTCCGAAAAATTTCCCGAGAAAAAAAGGATTATCCGATTTGTCACGACGTTTTTCCTCAAAGGTTATTGAAGATAAACTTAGCCATCACTTTTTGCAAGATGTGCCCATGTAAACCCATCAGTCATTATCAATTTACCATAAGGCTAATCTCAATAATCAAACTTTTAGTCAGCAAAGTTGATCAGTTACACTTTGATTCACATCTGCAAGTTAAACTCTGAATCAGTTTATTGGGAAAGTTGAGTCAACAGCAAATAACCTTTAGTCATTAAAGAGACTGAAGTAACCAAACCGATTTCTTATCACAATAATAATGCAAAATAATCAAATAAACTTTGAATAATTGTGATGTGAAAAACATATCCTTAGGATGAAGTCAACTTTAGTCATGAAATTAGTTATGGAGTTAGAGCAATTGCTTCTCACAAAATCAACTTGTCACAATAATAATGCAAAATGATGATGAATTTTTGCACAAAAAGAGTATCGATCTTTTACTCTATTTAAAGAAACCAGATAATTATCCTTTGCTATTTTGACATTAACCAATTAATCATTTTCTTTATTTCCTTTTCTCCAACAGTATTAGTACTTGTTCTGCCTCCAAAGTTTACATTAACTGTACTCCTAGTCATAATCGTCGGAATCGCCGTGGAAGTGGCTCATCAACCGGCAGCAGTTCTAGTCTGCTCAATAATCCTTTACTTTCTCCACTCAACACACCCAAACCCATACCAAATAGAACCTCATCTTCTTCAAGTGAATCCAGTCCAATCAATACTCCACCAGGTTCCCCTGGACTTGGTAATCAACCTTATTGGAAGTCAAGGTTGAATACATTGAAAAATAGTTTCCTTGGAAGTCCAAGATTTCATCGAAGAAAAATGCAAAGTAAATAACATTGAACAATATTCCAACCCAACAGTAAACTTAACCTTCTCTGTTGCCAAAAATAACTCAATCAACAACAATGGTCACTAAAATAGCCTCTAGCCAAGGAAAAGATTTCAAATAAATAACCTTAGCTCTTTCAACTGCACAAATACATACAGTCAACTATTCAATAAACAACTTGTTTCACTCCCAGTCTCCCAGCAGCAATAGATTATACTTTGTATTTTCCCAATTGAATTGAACAGTGAAAAGCAATGCAACAAATTGAAGCCAAAATCAACTAGTTACAGCCCATTAACTCTTTCACAGTAAAAAAAAGCAAGGAAAAGGTGAAAGTTGTTGAAGGGAAGGAAAAAAGTTGAGAGAAAAAAAAAGTTTTGATGAAAAGACGAAAGAAAAATAATCTTTCAATAATATCATTCAATTTTCATGAGAATCGTAGTGATTCCCTTTTAGGAATATTTGCTTCGCCTTTCCCTCAATCAATTTGGATAAGCAAACACTTTTTAATTCACTTTTCTTTCCCTTTGTAATTAGTTCCATCTCCATACGAAGAGACCAGTTTTACACCAGAGACTTCACCCGAGCTTACTAAGCGTTCCTGGTTTGGTAATTTGATGGGAACTGAGCGAGACGAGACTCATGTTTTACTGGTCAAGGATAAGCCTCTAAGTGCTGTTAAAGCTGACCTTATCCATGGTTTTCTTTCTGTAAGTCAATCAAATTATTACCTTCAATACTCAAGTTAATCAAATAAAAGTTTATCCAAAAGATGATGAACATAATGGTGAATCATTAAGAGCACTGCTAATTGATTCATTCATGTTTAGCTTGCAAGTTGTTCGTGATTATTCATTTGATTGTTTCATTATTCATTTAAATCTTTTTTTCTCTTCTTCTTTCGTTGCTCTTTTAGGTAACTGATCTTAGTCACTCGGTTTTGTCTCCAATGTCTTTTCGAGTTGAATATAAGAGACCGGGAAACACGGCAATGTTTCAACGAAATGTACGATTCCAAGTGAGCATAACTCCAGCTGGACCCCCTGGGAATGGCCATTCAAGTGTAAATGATAAAGTTACAGTCAATGGTAAAGATCATTCAGATCCAATTGATAAGCCAACAATATACGCGATAACCTTTACATTAATATCAGGTGAGAAGAGATTTTCGAGTTTCACTTTACAACAATTCAAAAAAGTCTCATGAGAAAATCATCAATCCGGAAACTCGAAATTTGAAACTTTTAACAAAATTTTTCTGATCAAATTTCGTTAGAAAATTCTGCAATTTTTAGCCACTTTTTTTTTGATGACTGAAAATATTTTCAGAAACGAAAAATAAAAGATTTTAAATTTTCGCAATTCTTGCTGAAGAATTTCAAGAATCACTTTTCGAGTTTTTTATTTTTGCACTGAATTTCGACGATTTTCGTTTCTTCATGGTGGTTAAAAGCTTTTTGAGTTGGGTTTTCTGTCAATATTTCAAGTTCATTGGTTTAAAGAAAAACAATTTTTAATTATTGATTTGACTTTTTTTGTTATTGCTTTTTGCAGGTCCAGTTCGTCGTTTCAAAAGGATCTGTGATCATTTACAAGTTCACTTGTTGGGTCGTCGAGGAACCAATCAATTGTCCCCTCGAATGAGCCGTCGACCAACCCGTGATCTTAGTGATAGCTCTTGTGGTTCATGTGGATCGGGTAGCCTTTCACCGACCCCGACTCGACTTCATGTTGGTGCTGAAGACACAGTCTCCCTGGTTTCACCTCAAATAACAAGTACAACAAGTTTAACGGTCAAAAATGTGCTCTCTCGCTGCAAGTCGGACCAAGATGCTGGAGGTGACATTTTTGATCGAACAGAAAATGGTTCCAAATTGATTGTCTGTTCCAAGGCCAATTCCAATTCCAATGGTACAAACAACAAGATTACACTCACCAATAACAACAACAATAACAATAATAATAACAATAACAACAATACTAATAACAATGTTAACAATACAAGTCATAATAATAATACAAATAACTGTTTAAATAAGGTTAACAACAATAGTAATAATCACGTATTAAATAGCAGTCTAGGGAGTGTCTCGAGTGTAACATCAACCCAGGTTAAGCACATCAGTAGCAGCAACAAAATCATCAACAATGGGTCAGTCAAGAATGTAAAAAGTGTGCCCAATGGTACAAACATAAGTCTAAACGGTCTAAACTCGAGCAGTGGAGTTGGCTTGAGCCTTACCAATGGACCACAAGGACCGACAATGAACATGGTTCGTCCACGTGAACCCAGTTTAACCAGTTTATCGGCTCGTGAAAGGATGCTATCATCATCATCGTTACACTCAACAGGGTCTCAACTCTCACCACCGCCAACATCGACAACACCCTCAACCCAATCCCAAGCATCTCCAGGTCAACCCTCACTACAACTACAGCAGTCTCTATCAAACTCTTCACCCAACTCAAATCGGGAACGATTAATTGCCAATGGAAGGCGAATGAGCTTAGATCACAAGTTGATGGCAGACAACGTTTGAACCCAACCAGTGTCGACTCCATGGCAGAAACCCATGAAATTGTCTAACCATGAATGGATCAAGAGGACAACTTGATAAACTAACGAAACTTTGAGCTGAAAATCAAAACTATCACATCATCATGTGCGAACTTGTTGAAATCTCTTTTTCTCTCTTTCTCTTTAACTCTCTTGACCTTTCATCTTCTTTCCTGATTGCAATTAACTAAATTAAACGAGTGCAATTTGCTTTTCAACCTTTTATTGGGACAAAAAACTGTTTCTTTTTGCAACTAAACTCAACGGAAAGTATCCAAAGTTAACTTTTGAATAAATGAAGTGGAACCTAAGACGAAGATTTAAACTGTCAACTTAATTGGCTGATCCATTGATGCTTTTCATCCTCTAATTATTCATCATATTTTCATCCTTCATCTTTATTCTCATCTTAATCTTTTTTTTTTCTTCTCCTTTTCTTGACCATCTTCTTAACCTTCTCCTTATGATCTTCTTGCCTTGTATCTTATGTAGATATTAACTTAGCCTCTTGCAAGCCAAAATTGATGATGAGCTGTAACAAAAAAAGACAAAAATATAAACTTCTAGACATCTGTAATTAATTTAACTAATTAATCAAATTAATTGTAAACAAATAATTTGATGTTCATTTTTTCCCTTCTTTTCCTTTTCGTTTAATCATTTGATTGAGCATAACTTGAGTGAAGATGTATTTGATAACGTGAATTTCGAGCATTTTTTATCCTTCAGAGTACCCAATGTACGTTGACTGTAAGGCCATTTTGGCGAAAATAAAGAGATAAATCGATTTATCAATCAACCAATTTCAAAGATAATTTCAGATTAAATTTCAATTGAGAAAATTGTAAGCTGGTGTGACAATGCTAAGTGGAATTATCTATCTATTGATCAGAATGGGAACAACACTATCGGACCTCAAGTCTAAAGCATGAATACTGTCTCTTGAGTTAACTTCCAATCATATCTAAGTCTCATGTCTGATAAAAATTTGAGCATTAGTAATGAGATCTAGACGTTGAAGCTCTGAACCTAAAGTCTATTGCGATTTAACTTCTGATACACTCATTGGTCTTTTCAAGATCATTTTGCTGTTGTTTATTTCCAGGGTTTCTAGGGTCATTTTATGGAGTCTATCGAAGTATTTCAGAAAATAAAAACCACAAGTTGCTTGATTGAATAAAGCACGACCAAAGTTTATGCATTTTTAATTACAAATTAACTTCAAATTAACTATTATTATATAAAGCTAAACTTTTAGTTCGAGTCTAATAAGCTAAAGTATTATTTCGAGAATCTCTGATGATAATACACTGGCCATCGTTTTTCGTTGAGTGCAACAACTAAACTATGAGTTTAAACAAACTTTCACCATTGAGTTAATGTGGTTGGTCTCATTAAAAGTTTGTAAAGTTAATTCATTTTTGATTACAATAATAATGACGCTACAATTTGTACCCACTATGCATTACGCTTTTATCTTGAAGAGTTGTTCAATTGCTCATTGAGCAAACATTTTCTACTGATAATCAATTTTTCCTTATTTTTCCTCTTTTCATTATCTATTCAACATGTGCCTCCAAAGTTTCACCAGTTCAACTCCTAGTCAGAACCATTGGAATGATTCACATTTCATGCAAAATTAGTAAAAAGCGAAGAGAAAAGGATTTAAATGTTCGTTATGGGCCAAGCTTAACTCACCTAATTGGTAAACTGGCCCCACGAAAACACTCAATCATGAATTATGTTGATGGAAAGTCGAGAGTAGAAAAAAAGGAAAAACTAAATTTCTTGTGAATTGATGAGAAAATGGTGCACTCAATGGGGGGACCAATAGTTTCATTGAGATCATCAACCTTTCATCACGAAACCGATAACCGAAAAGAGGTAGAGAATGAAAACGAGCGCAAAATGAAAGGCAAATCTAACCTTGAAGTTGTAACAAAACATGTTGATCATTTGTTTATCAATATTGATAAATTTTGCGACAAGAGTGCATGTAAATTGATATCGTTCAACTGAACAGGTTGTTGATAAATATTTTTCAATCGAGGGATCAGCAAGTTCAACAGAATGAGCACGAAGGTTTGGGTGTTTAAAGTGAAATTACATTAACAAATGGCAAGTGAGAGTAAAATGAAACGGTAAATAAAGGGAATGAGAAATTTCCATATTTGGTGATAGATTATCAGAGGCAGTAAAAAGGCAGAAATAATATATTCAGAATATGCAAATATATGATTATCTTTATTCTTGATTATGTCATGATTAAATTAGAATAGAATTAGAAAATTCTGCTTAGAATATTGTATTATCAGTTTCCAGAGCTAATATTGCCATTAGAATTTGTCACTGAAATATTCAATTTATTGGTCGGCCAGCGTTCTTTACCTTCAGCTTGTATCGAACTTCGGCAATTGTAAATGTCGGCTCGATTACTGCGTTCATGGTATATTTTAACACACGAATGTCCCTCTGAACAGGTGCAGCTAAAGAAGATGGAAAAAGAAATGAACAAAAAGAGAGAAGAAATTAATCTTAATGAAAAGTTAAATCGATAAAGTCAATCAAATGAGGGGAAAATTGGTTATCAATTGCATTTTTACTGTTGATTGTTACAACTTGGGGTTAAGTAGTTAACACACGAATTTCCTCTGAACAGGTACAGCTGGCGAAGGTGGAAAAAGAAATGAACAAAAAGAGAAAAAAAAGAGTGCGAAAAATCAAAAGAAATTAATCTCAATGAAAAGTAAATCGATGAAGTCAATCAAATGAGGGGAATTTTCTATTTTCTTCTAAATTTTCGTACATTTGATTTTCGATTTTTGTTACTTACAAATTTTTAATCATCATTACCGGCTTGTCTTGATCAAAGACGATCCAACCACAGGCTTGTGAATAAGTACAATAAGTTACTTCACTGGAAACCTAATGACGAAATGAGAATGTGAGAAACTTTTTTTTTTGGAGAATTTTTTCTTCTCTTTCGGACACTAAACTCACCGAAGTTGTTGATTCGATTGGTGAGTAAACTAATGAAAGGATTGAGAGTAAAACGAAAGTGCACAGTAAATTGTGCTTGAAATTTAGCTCCATATCTTGGTGAATGCAGTGCAATGAGAAGCGGGTAAAATTGTGAATTACTGTTTGGAGTGCGAGTTTAAAGTTGACAATTTTGGCACGTTTGGCAAATGTTTGATCAACTAGTGTGTTAACTTTGTGTGTAAATGAGTGTAACTTGGTGAGGATCAAGTTACTTATATAAACAGGTTTGAGAGACTCCGTTAAAACGTTGAAGGTCCGCCTTAATGATAATCACGTAATGATTGGTTTAGTTTGGTGAATTTCATTTTCTATTATTGATTGCTCAGAGTTTCATTTCTTTACTATTTCCACTCCAGAGGAAGAGAGTCAGATTGTTGTCAAGATTATGATGAAGATGAGGAAGTTGTGAGAGAGAAGAGAGGATTGAGCTTTGCAAAACAATAAAAGGCTTGATAATGATGGTTTAGGGGCTCGTGAAATGACGCTATCGCCATCATCGTTACACTCACCAGGGTCTCAACTCTCACCACTCTCTCTCTCACCCACATCGACAACACCCTCAACCCAATCCCAAGCATCTCCAGGTCAACCCTCACTACAACTACAGCAGTCTCTATCAAACTCTTCCTCCAACACAACTCGGGAACGATTAATTGCCAATGGAAGGCGAATGAGCTTAGATCACAAGTTGATGGCCGACAACGTTTGAACCTAAACCGTCAACCTAACCCAACCAGTGTCGACTCTATGGCAGAAACCCATGCAATGGATTTATGATGGATCTGTAAATGGGAGAAATGGGTCCAACCATAAATGGAACAAGAGGACAACTTGATAAACTAACGAGTCTTAACCTTCTCCTTATGATCTTCTTGCCTTGTATCTTATGTAGATATTAACTTAGCCTCTTGCAAGCCAAAATTGATGATGAGCTGTAACAAAAAAAGACAAAAATATAAACTTCTAGACATCTGTAATTAATTTAACTAATTAATCAAATTAATTGTAAACAAATAATTTGATGTTCATTTTTTCCCTTCTTTTCCTTTTCGTTTAATCATTTGATTGAGCATAACTTGAGTGAAGATGTATTTGATAACGTGAATTTCGAGCATTTTTTATCCTTCAGAGTACCCAATGTACGTTGACTGTAAGGCCATTTTGGCGAAAATAAAGAGATAAATCGATTTATCAATCAACCAATTTCAAAGATAATTTGAATCTGATCAAATCGTGTGCTGGAGTGACACTAGATGTCACTTGCCATTCATTTCAAATTCAAGTTAACATACAATTAACAGTTAGTTGAAGCAATTGTTTCAAGTTTAACGCGTTTTTAAGCAGAATCTTGGACTACCAAATGTTTTTGTACTATTCATCAGAATTAGCTTGCTGTCTCATCTAAAATTTGTAATTTATACTTTTCGAAGATGTTATCATCAAACAATTATAATCTATCTATTGATCAGAATAGGAACAACACTATCGGACCTCAAGTCTAAAGCATGAATATTGTCTCTTCAGTTAACCTACAAATTATAACTAACAAGTCTAATGCGTGATAAAATTTGAACATTAGCAATGAGATCTAGACTTTGAATCTCTGAACCTAAAGTCTATTTCGATTTAACTTCTGATACACTCATTGGTCTTTTCAAGATTTTTTTGCTGCTGTTTATTTCTAACTTACATTGCATCGCATTATCGAAATAAACTCAAATACTTTTTCAATAAAAGATGGAGAATATTCAGAAAAGGGTCATTTTATGGAGTCTATCGAAGTATTTCAGAAAATAAAAACGACAAGTTGCTTGATTAATCAAATGACGATCAAATTTATGCATTTTTAATTTCAAATTATAACATAAAGCTAGACTTTTAGTTCGAGTCTAAAAAGTTAAAGTATAATATTATTTCGAGAATCTCTGATGATAATACACTGGCCATCGTTTTTCATTGAGTTCAACTACGAGTTGAAAGAAACTTGCATCATTTATCTAATGTCGTTGATTAAAAGATAGTCAAAGTTGAGCCATTTTTGATTACAATACTAATGAGTCATTAGTAATGACGCTAATATTTGAACCCAATATGCATTGAGCATTTATCTTAAAGAGTTGTTCAATTGCTCATTGAGCAAACACTTTCTACTGGTGATTAATTTTTTCCTTATTTTCCCTCTTTTCATTATCTATTCACCATCTGCCTCCAAAGTTTCACCAGTTCAACTCCTAGTCATAAACGTTGGAATCGGCATAGGAAGTGACTCGTTAGCCGAGATTGGTTTGAATCGACAATACTTTTCCGTACTTCACCCTATCTTGACTAAATCGTCAATGCAACAGCTCGACCCTCTTCAAGTGAACCCAATCAATACCAACCTGGACTTGATCAACTGCACTGTCAGTCAAGTTTGATGAATAAACATTTAGTGTTACAATAAACTGTAATCTTTCATCAACTTTGACACAACCTCACATGAAGCAAACATCACATGATGAGGCCATCGATTGCAGTTTGTTGTTACAATAATTGAAAATAAAGCAATTAATCAGATAAAAGTTTCAACAAGTTGATTCAGTTTTCACTTTGAGTAAATAGGGTCATTAATTAGAGTCCATCAAGCTACAAAGGCAAGACTAGATCAACTCTTGATTGCCCATAACTTGTTTTAACAGAAGCTTAACTTTTAGGGAAAATATTTTCTTTTATCGTAAAGTTTGTCACTTGATATTGGAAAAGCACATGACTCAATTTGTTAACAAAGCTTTGAGTGCATCCAATCTGGCAAAAAAAAGTTAATCACTTGAGGAATTCCGAGCATGGAAAATTGGAAAAGAGCGGAAAAAAATGATCAGATTTCGATTTACAAACCCAAAACATAATTTCCCCGATTTTGCAATAATCTGAATCAGCACTTTACCGAGATAAAATGAGTCAAACCAAGAATGATGTGAAAAAAGATTCAAGATAACCCAAAACAGGGTCAACCCTTTGGTACATGAAGACTTGTTAAAAATACTCAATGAAACTTTTGTCAAACATTGAAATGTTTCACATTTGAATGGAAATTAGAAAAGCGAAAAGACAAGAATTTCAATGTTCTTGATGGGTCAAGGTTAACTCATATAATTGCTAGACTGGCCGCACGTAAGCACTTTACAATCATTAATCAACTTGAAGAGTAGAAAAAAGGGAAAACTGAATTTCTTGTGAATTTATGAGCAAATGTTGCACTCAATGGTTTCATTGAGATCATCAACCTAACATCATGAAACTGATAACCGAAAAGAGGTAAAGAATGAAAACGAGCGCAAAATGAAAGGCAAATCTTGAGCCGCATATTTGCGTACATTTACAGTTGAGCATTTTGATTAACAGTATAACCTTGAAGTTGTAACAAAACATGTTGATCATTTGTTTATCAATATTAATAGCTCTTGTGAAAAGAGCTCAGATTGTTATAAATTGATATCGTTCAACCAAACAAGTTGACAATCAAAATATTTTTCAGTCAAACGAGTGATCAATAAGTTCAACAGAATCTCGTCTTGAAGTTTCAATATTCATTGGCAGTCTCAACACAATTTATTCAGAAAAAAAGGAAAAGAAAATTTTGTTCGATTCTTCCATTTTTATTGAAACATAAATTATTCTTTGGCTGAAGTCATTGTATTCAACTGATTCAATAATAATAACAATTATAATGATGATAATGGGTTTGATATATTAATTGGTTAATGATTAGTTTACATGAAGATTTGGGTGTTTAAAGTAAAATTACATTAACAAATGGCAAGTGAGAGTAAAAATGAAACGGTAAATAAAAGGGAATGAAAAGTTTCCATTGTTGGTGATTGATGATGTTATTTAGCAAATGAGGAAAAGTATTTGTAACTCTAATTAGATAAATTATCAGAGGAACGTTGAAAGCTATACTTTCCATTGGGATTCGCCGTTGAAATATGCTTATTCGTCGGCCAGCGTTCTTTACCTTCAGCTTGTATCGAACTTCGGCAATTGTAAATGTCGGCTCGATTACTGGGTTCATGGTATGTTTTAACACACGAATGTCCCTCTGAACAGGTGCAGCTAAAGAAGGTAGAAAGGAGTGAAAAAAAGAGAAAAGAAATTAATCTTAATGAAAAGGTAAATCGATAAAGTCAATCAAATGAGGGGAAAATTGGTTATCAATTGCATTTTTACTGTTGATTGTTACAACTTGGAGTTAAGTAGTGACAAAAGTGAGCCAAAAGTGAAGGGAAAAAATGTTTCCTGCGAAGACGATTAACGTAACAAGTTCAATTAATTGTCTCGTGATATTTTTTTGTGTCGATGCAATGATAAGCTTTCAACATCTTAATATAAAATCTCTTGTCGCCCAATTTCAAGTCAATGTTTTAGGAAAAATTTTTTCTTCTAAATTTTCGAAATTTTCATTTTCCATTTTGTTACTTACAAGTTTTTAATCATCATTGCTGGCTTGTCTTGATCAAAGACGATCCAACCACAGGCTTGTGAATAAGTACAATAAGTTACTTCACTGGAAACCTAATGACGAAATGAAAATGTGAGAAACTTTTTTTTTTGGAGAATTTTTTTTTCTTCTCTTTCGGACACTAAACTCACCGAAGTTGTTGATTCAATTGATGAGTAAACTGATGAAAGGATGGAGAGTAAAACGAAAGTGCACAGTAAATTGTGCTTGAAATTTAGTTCCATATCTTGGTTAATGTGGTTCAATAAGAAGTTGGGTGAGCACGGGTAGAGTTGAGCAAAAGTTGGTTTTCGGTGCGAAAATGAAAGCGACAGAGAAAACTGGAAATGTCTTTTCACCTGATTAGCACAAGTTAAGAAATGAAAAGTGAATGAAAAAAACTATTTGAAGTGCGAGTTTAAAGTTGACACTTTATACTGATTTAAAGCGATTGATTGTTTTAATAATAAAGATGTTATCGTTTGGCAAATGTTTGATCAACTAGTGTGTTAACTGTGTGTGTAAATGAGTGTAACTTGGTGAGGATCAAGTTACTTATATAAACAGGTTTGAGAGACTCCGTTAAAACGTTGAAGGTCCGCCTTAATGATAATCACGTAATGATTGGTTTAGTTTGGTGAATTTCATTTTCTATTATTGATTGCTCAGAGTTTCATTTCTTTACTATTTCCACTCCAGAGGAAGAGAGTCAGATGAGAGATTGAGAGAGAGAGAGAGAGACAATATTTTACTAAGTTTCCTGGGTGATGAGAGTTAATTAAAGTCTTTTTTTTGTTTCATCATTTGAATGAGATTGAAAAGTAAAAGTTGTCAATTGGAACCATTTGTTTGCTGAACAATTTGAGCAACTTTTTTTTGTTGTTTGGTTCCAAAATGAAAATACGTAATGATAATTAATGGTTAAATATCATTATCAAATATCTCAGGTAAAGATGGAAATCTCTCTCTTTTTTGTGTTTGTTTGTCAAGTACATCAAAGAGATGAGATTGATTAGCATGAAGATGATGATAAAGATGATGATGAAGATAGTGGTGAAGATGAGGAAGATGTGAGGGAGAAGAGAGGATGAGCGGATGAAGGAAAGGCAAGAATGTGATGGACTGAGAAAGGATGTTGAAGAATGTAAAGTATTGCAAATTTGGTGAGAAACAAGGTAACACATCAGGTTGACTAATAATTTGAAACAATTTAGTTTGACCCTGTAATTGGCGAACGAATTATTTTTACCTTTTTGTGTCTTTTACAGGTTTGCCAATGAAAGTCGCGCATTTCATCATTTGTGGGCAACTTTTCCTCTATCATCATTTATCCTCATCATCATTCAATTTACCTTTCTTTTTCTTCTTTCACTATATTCATCCGATCCATTTGGTTAAAACAGAAACTCAAGTAAAAATTTTCTTAAGGTTGATTCAAAAGCTTGTCAAGAGTTTACTGAGTTTACTTGATGATAGCAGTTGATATGGTTTAGTGTAACCCAGAGAGTCGACCTTTTGCCCATCAAGTATGACTGACTGTTCACGCAAGAAGCACACAAAATTATTATCTCGTGTTCAACCTTAAAATCAGATCAATCCCATGATTTGCTTTGTTTACTTTGGCAATCAGTTGATCCAATGTTATACTTAATCCTTGAAAATGCGGAAAAGTGAAAAATTTGAAAAATTACCTTTTCTATTTTATATTGGACAATTAGTTGGGAAGATTGATTAACTGAAATTGTTAAACATTTTTTAAGATTGACTTTCATTGTGAGTAAGATTTACTTTGTTCAATTATTGCAAAGCTCATCACTATGATGAAATTTAAACAAGGAAACACCGAGTTATGTTAACAATCAAGGCTGACTCTGTCTTCACACTCATCTCAATCATTATCATCTTAATCATCATCTTAATCATTTGTCTTAATCGCCCTGCTAATGTCTAATTTGTCAAGAGTCTTCCTCTTAATATTTCCGTTTGAACCCAAGGAAAACATGAAAAGCGCAAATCAAACACTCAAAGGTAACCAACTTTTGCCCTTAGACTTTCAATTGACCATTGTTTTGTGGCCCCGTGTAGAGGCCTCTAAGGCGTCAACACAATTGAAGTGTTAATCAACTAAGCAAACAATTGATAAATTGTCTCAAATTAATCATTAAGCTTACACAAGTAGGCTGAACAAAAGGCAAGAAAAAAAGCAAAGACAAACTGGAATAGGGAAAAATCCTTTCATTACTTTGTTATCATTTCAACAATTGAGAAGCTTCATTTTTGGCATTTTCACCTAAATCTACAAAGTACTTTCTACGTTCAGAAGTACTCATCAATTTCATCAATTAAAGTGCACACTTTAACAATCAATTTTAATTCATGCTCATGGGTCTTCCGTTTTCTGACGAAAGCAAAAATACATAAAAAAGCAACAAACGTTCAAATTATAGTGCAATTCACATGTAATAATAGAGTCAGTCGAGAATAGCAAATTAACCAAGTAATCGTCATCAATGTACTTCTGATCATTTGAATGAAAAACCGTTGAAATGAACATTGTTTCAATGTTGAAAAGCTATAATCAGATTATTATGAAAGGCTAAGAATATCATTTTTAACATTCTTAGTGCTTGCAATTTGATGGTAAATTTTCATCACTTTTTTTTACAACTCAACTCGGAGTTGCCAGCGGCAATAAGAAAGTCCCTACAAATAACAATCATGCTTTATCAACCTCACATCGACATAATCATTAACATTTATCTTTTACTTCTTCTGTCAATTTACGTCAAATTTTAGGAAATTGTTGTTTATTCATGTCTAGTGTGGACAAAATTAATTGGAATGTCTGAAGCAATCATTTCCTTTAATAACTGTGTTAACTTGCACAATTAATCTTTTTTTCTCATTTTATTCCATTCTGTATTAGATTATTTCAATCCATTGATCTGATTTCATTAAACTTCATCTTTGACTCTATTTTTGTGTGTTAACCAAACACAATGATTTCATCTCCAACCTACACCTTTTTTAAATTGTTTATGGTTGCATTGGAAAGCTCGTGGAATTGATTTATTTCATTAACTTGGTTTGACTTTTCATCTCTTTTTTAATCAAACTGTCAAATTTAAATCGATTTTCATTTCATGAATTCCAGATTCTTCTAGTTGTAAGCCATTTCAATAATCAAACATGAGTTTGTGTCTTTGCGTAAAAGCACACTTGATGACTTTAATCATTCAATTGGATTAAATTGGATTGGATAATATGAGAATTACGTTTTTCTGTTGCTGTTACCTTGTTTCTTAGGATAACCGCAACATTTTTTTTCCTGCAAAATAAGCAGCAAATTAATTGTAACAAGTTGTTACAATAATAACAAAATAATTGGAGTCAACGTTGAGTTGTAAGAAATTTTTATATGATTTAGAATAAGATGAGATTAAAAAAGACAAAGTACATTTAACCTGAGGCTTTTTTAAATTTTATCAAACTGGGGCTAACGTTTGAATGATTGAATGTGTTCTTGGCTGACTTGATTGTGAGGTTCAACTGTAACAGCCGCAACAATCATGGTTAATCACCATCATTACAATAGCCAGAGAGGCGAACAAAAAGGAATAATATGATAACACGTAAATTTGGCCTCTGGTGGATCTTGAAGGTTGATCTTAAGACAATAGTGATTTTATACTTTCAACTTTATTTAAAAACTCGTTCTTCAATTCCTTGTTCTGTAAAAAAAAGTAAGATATAAATACAATTAAATGAACGAATCATAATTTAAGCTAAATAAAACTAACCTTGAATTTTATACAAAATTTGCCCATCTTCTCAGGTTCTTCGGAAAAGTCGACACCAGCCCAGGTCAAGGCCGCTTCCGAATTTTCTAAAGGTTCAAGCTTCATTGATGGAATAATTCGTTGATTACAGGCGATTTTTAGTACTTTATCTCTTCTTAAGAGCATTCGATAAGTGTCTATAATTGAAGGAAAAGAAAATTATTAATAGAAAAGTTAACGTAGTCACAAAATGTACAGGATATCTAACATGCTTTCGTAAATTAATATGTTAGATAAATATTATGAAACTTACTATTCGTGGGATGCTTAAGTAATTTGAATTCTCCAACACCTCTTTCTTTCCCATTCTTTTTCTTTATCACTAAACAGGAAAACTTTAGCTCTGATACAAACATAGGTTCTTCTTCTTCTTCACCGGTTTTTACTTCCACAATATCAGGCATTTGAATAGTTGGAAGTTTGAATACAGCGTTTTCCGAGCCGCCAGCTAATGAAATAAATAAAAAAGTGATGATAAATTTCAATTCAAATAACAAAATCAGAGTGACATACCATCTTCACCGCCTTCAATCTCATTTTCATTAGTTTCAGTTCTTTGGAATACAGGTTGTGGCTTCATCACCATTTCCCATTCACTGCTAGTTGACTCCCAAGTGCTCTTAGCAGTTTTATTTTCATCAATGGCTTGTTGGAAAAGATCTAAAAAAATTGAATGTAAATAAACTATTTTGCTAAATGAAATACTATTTCAACTTACTCGTGTTAGAGTCTTGGGAATAAGTTGAACCAAATAAGCTTGGCTTTGAAGGCTGATCGTTTTTTGAAGCCGGTTCTGGCTCTGGCTTTGCTTTACTTGATTCAGCTGGTTCAGAAGAATGCTCTTCAGAAGATAATAGTGACTTGATATTTTCAAATTTACCCAGGAAATCGTTCTTCAATTCCTTATTCTGTAAAAAAGTAAGATATTTATACAATTTAATAAATATTTGAATCATTATTTAAACTAAATAAAACTAACCTTGAATTTTATAGCAAATTTGCCCATTTTCTCGGGTTCTTCGGAAAAGTCGACACCAGCCCAGGTTAAGGCCGATTCCGAATTGTCTAAAGGTTCAAGCTTCATTGATGGAGTAATTCGTTGATTACAGGCGATTTTTAGTACTTTATCTCTTCTCAAGAGCATTCGATAAGTGTCTGTGATAAAAAAAGTAAAGAAGTTAATCGAGGTCACAAAATGCATAAATTCATTGCATAAAACGTATGGATTTTATACATTGATATGTTACATAAAATTATAAAACTTACTATTCGTTGGATGCTTAAGTAATTTGAACTCTCCAACACCTCTTTCTTTCCATTCTTTTTCTTTATCACTAAACAGGAAAACTTTAGCTCTTGATACAAACATAGGTTCTTCTTCTTCTTCACCGGTTTTTACTTCCACGATATCAGGCATTTGAATAGTTGGAAGTTTGAATACAGCGTTTTCTGAGCCACCAGCTAATATTGAAATAAATAAATGAAATTAAAAATCTCAATCAAAATAATAAAATTTGAGCAACTAACCATCTTCACCAGTTGCAAAGTTGTCCTCTTCGTCGCCACCTTTATTTGGTTTAGAGAATAATGGAACTGGCGCGGTTATACTACTCCAGCTTGCTTTTCCTGTATCCCAATTCGTTTGTGCTGTTCCAAAAGTTGACATAGCAGCGGCAAAAAGATCTGGAAAGAAATGCAAAAACTGTTTTTATCACTGTTCAGTATAAAAATTTTATTAAATTTACTTGATCCTTCCTGATTAGAAGCTGGTTCAGCCTTTGGTTCGGTTTTCACGCTAGTTTTATCTAATGATGCATCTTCATCACATCCACGACATCCAGGACAAGGTTTAGCATTCATATAATCATAAAAGTTGATTGGTAACTGATACTTTTTAGCTTTTTCTGCTTCATCAGATTTTGGTTCTTTAACATAAACAATCTCTAAGTCAGTTAACTCATCGTTTTGTGCTGCTGTACTAGATTTCGAGGGGTTACTAGAAATGGCATCAGGATTGAAGCCTCCGAAAGAGAAAGACGGAAATTCCTTCGTATTACCGAAAACTTTCACGTTACTCTGAGCGTCTTTAGCAGGTTCTGCTTTAATGTTACCAAATATCGAAGGCTTATTTGCTGATTGCCTGTTAGCTTCATTTTCATTGGTAGTATTGCCAAAGGGAGAGACATTGAATAGAGAAGTATTGATACCCGACGAAAATTGGGGGAAACTAGATGATCCAGCACTAAATGAGAAATCGGATCGATTAGAACTAATGCTGGAATTGATAGAACTATCAGTAGCACTGAGAATAGACTGATTGACAGACACATCAGCACTGGGGTATTCAGTTTTCGTGTCAGAACTTTTCACTGGTAAACTAAAAGAAAATGGCTGATCTTTTGGCTTGCTTTCAGGCTGAGGTATACCAAAATTGAAAAGGGATGGTTTAACTGGTGATGAACAACCGGGTTGATAAGTTTCACAACAAGGGCACTTTTTAACGCTCATAGCATGACGCATATAACAGCCAGAGCATTCCCAACGTTCTCCAGGGTTACTTTTCCACATATCAGCAATTGGATCGGCTGCAGGTTTAACGGGTGAGCTTTGACCAGGTTGAGATGGTTGAGCACTTTGAGGAATTGACTGTGAGGAAATTGGTGGAAAAGCTCCAAAAGTAGGAGTAACGTTGGACCCGAAAGAAGGGAAAGGAGTACTAAATAGACTCGTATTTTGTGTAGATGGATTAGCTGGTAGAGTTTGTTCAGCAGCAGGAGGAGAGATAGGGATATAGGGATTGGGAAAGGAAGGATTCACAGGAGTTGGCCATGAAATACCAGATGATGGTGACTGACCGAGTCTAGAAAATACTCCAGATTTTGGATTAAAAACCGGTTCAACTTTCGCAGATTGATCTGATGGAACTGTTGAGTATTGATTTTTAGGGAAATTTTCTCGAGTTGGTTGATTGTATGAGGAATAGTCAGGTTGATTAGAAATAGATTTTTCTTCATCATCATTATCATTGTCAGCAACAGCGCCATCACCTTGAGTTTCAGCACCATAAGATTCAGTTAACTCATAGACGGCATCCTCTAAATTAACTTGAGATTTCATCACTTTGTCCATCATCTCAGTATGCTTGATGACAGTTTCCTAAAGTTCACGATAAAAAAGAATAGGCATTAAGTAAATTACTCTAGAGTGGCATATTGTAAATTAAAATTACCTTAATAATAGTTAAATCTTTCGATAAATTATCAGGACCAGACAGGTTAAACTTTTCGAAATTTTTCTAAATTATAAACAAGAAGACATTAGGCAAACGTAATTAGCTATAGAAAGAATAAACACTACCTGTAGTCCTTTGATAAGCGCAACAACTTCTTCGTTAGACTTTGCGACCTGGTCTTGCAGCTTCACAACACTCTCAACAATACCTTCTTGGGCTTGAGATAAGACTATCAATTCTTTTTCTATTTTCTCAAAATTAACCTTAGCAGTCTGCTGAAACAATAAAAGAGGATATTAATAATAAGAATATATGCATCATTAAAAAATTGGATTCATTATTCAAATTTTGTACTTACGAAAGGAGACAGTGCCTTAGGTGAAATAAATCGACTAGATCTAGGGGTAGAGTTTAAGTCGTCACCTAAACAGAAAATAATTGTTAGTTAATTTTTACGTAAAACGTGTTTAAAAATAGTGCAGATAAACACTACATTCACTAATATTCATTTAAAGTAAACGGAAGTGTTAGTCACATGGCACTTGATGACAATATTGATTATATTAAATTATAATAAAACTCACTTCTTCCAGTCAAACTAAGATCGGCCAAATTTTTTAATGAGGCTGGTGTTGTGGGTTCGTTGATTGAGTTATTAAGAATATCAAGGGTAATGTTACCGGGAGATGAGCATGGTGAGCAAATTTTCGTTTTATCGAGGAAACTACTGTCTTTCTTGGCCATTTGCAATTTTTCTGTCCACAGTTTTACTTTATCAGGCTCTAAATTAGTATAGGGAATCAGGTCCATGATTTTGTCAAATAAATCAGATTGTGATTGATCAAGTTCCAGACTCTTCATGAAAGATTGCACAGCAGCATCTCTCTCATTCAATGCTTCCTGAATTTTTCCTTGCAGCTTGTAAGCAGCAGGACAATCATTTTTAACACTCATAAATTCACTAAGATACCTGGTAAGGAGAGAAAAAGAAACGAGATAGATAAATAAATAAGATAATTTTGAACGGTACACTTTTCAAAAGATTGGCTCAAAGCAAAACTCCCGCCATAATAACAATGAATTTACCTTAACGCTTTGGAGTACTCTTTGTTCAAATAGTATAGTTTAGCAAAATTTTTAGCTCGCAATTTACGCTGTTTGAAAGAAAAAATAAAACAAAACAATTAGAAAAACATAATTTAGAAAGGACAAGAAGCAAGTTGGGTAAAAGGGCAAGGATAGTCAATGGCAGTTAAGACGTTTTCAACTTACTTCAAAATCACTTTTGAGCCGGGCTCTGTAATTGAGAACATGGTTATCCAAATCAAGTTTCTTGGCGAAATTGGCCATTATTTAATTGAAAATGAGTTGATAAACTTGCCAAACGTGATCAACAGTAACAAAATTAGTTAATCAGTTGAATCAACAAGCAGGACAATGACTCATTAAGACAAAAATCACACACAATGGGAATAAAGGTGCTTTGATTAGACGACTTTTTTGGTTAAGCCAGTAACTGTGGTTAGTTTCCCCTGTTACAGTAACCGGTTACTATGAGGTAACAATCGTTTTCACCGCCAAATTCAAAAAAATACCAAAAAGGGCAATTTCCTACATCTTCAGAGTCACCTATCGGAAGGTTGTTGAGAATTCAATTCAGTTTCTTTGTTTTTGAATTTCCCTTAAACAGATTGAGCCATGGAAAGTAATAGATAAGAGTAATATCTCTATCTAAATTTCATGTTACTCAAAGCCTATTCAATTATCCTGATTTATCATCACCTAAGTCTACCTTTTTAATAAGCCTAATGACGGGCAAATTTAGATTAACAGTATGGGACCCAATACTTATTACTTCCCAAATTTTAACCATCCAAGCTTTATTTTATACTTCCCTTGCCATCCTGATCTATGTTGTCGACTGTATTTACGTTGAATCACCCTCATTAACTCACATATTTACTTATCAAATAATGACGATTAAATCTGGTCATAATATACTCATCATATTAAGTTATCTCATTAACGCTGTTTGTGGGTAAGTCGCTTATTTTTTGTGTTTTTTCAAAATCTGTTTTTTTTTGTTTTCAACATGTTCAATTTTGCCTGCAATGATGAAATCCTTTGGTAGATGAATTTTTATCAATTCATGTGATTGTGCTTTTTCAAGGTATCTGAACAGGCTCTAACTGAACATTAAAATGGTGAACATTAACAGAACCACGTGAACACTAACACTTCGCACCTTTGCTTTTTCCTCTTTTTCAGATCTTTCTACTTATGGTATTTTGTTGGCAGAGCCAAGCCATGTCTAGACTATTCAGCGACGTGCTATGTTGTACATTTAATTGTTTCTTGGGTTTATAATGGATATTTTCCAAATACATGGTCTTGGTGGATATTAAATGTCATTAGTGCATCATTAATGTGTATTTTTGGTGAATACTTATGCATGCAAACAGAAATCAAAGCAATTCCTCTGCTCTCCTCTGGAGCTGATGTATAAATACCTCTTGTTTTTCATTTTTTTTCATTCTCCAGATAGATTTATTTCTTATTTACTTTTTTGTTTATTTATTAATTTATTTATGAAATCTCAAATCAACTTATTTATAGCGCGAAAGCTTACAAATCTCATGAAAATTAAGATCAAATATCAATAAAATGAAAACATTTTTGATTGATGAAAATTATTTTTTAAAGAGGAAATTTATTTACACCTTAAAAGCTTAGAAAACCGTTTAATTGTTTATCAATAACCACAACAGTCTTTACCTTGATCGAGAAGAACTATAGAGGTTTCACGTAATTTGTGCAACAAAGCTTTGATTTGATCTCGGTCAAATTCCTTATAAAGTTGGTATATTTCGGAAGAGATCACATCAGCAATTTGAAGACATTCCTGTAATCGATTTGATGAATGAAGAACTGTATATAATAAGAAAGTTAATTGAGGAATTTTAGATTTACGAAGGCTAAACATTTGTTCTTTTCGGAAGTCATCTTCTTCTGGATCTGCTTTAGTGTCTACCATCCAACCACCGTCAGCAAAACAGAGAACATTGTAAATTTTCTCAGCCGACAATCTAGCTTGTAAGCCTAAAATTGATTTCCATTGCTCAACTTCATGTTCATATTGTTTGAGAGAGTGTTGATATGCGACTTTATCTGTAAATCTGTTGGATGTCGGTGGATTAGGTTCTTCAGGTTTACTATTTGTAAAGTAAGTTAACCATTCATCGAATGCTTCAATAGCATGTGAGTATGCTAAATGACAAAGATGTTCACGAATGGCATTATTAAGTCGAGGCGGAGGTTTTTTCTTTTGTCCCGCTTTCTTTCTCCACATTTTGAGAGATCCATCAATAAGATTACCGGGAAGTTTTTTCAGAGTCTTTTTGGATGAATCTGTTTTACCTGCAAGAGAAAATTGACGAAGAAGTGCATTTGATTGAAGTAATAATTCAATATAATTGACATCATCGATGGAAAGCCAATCAAGTGCGTCAATTTTTATATTGTCATCCTCTGATTCAGCAGCGACATTTGAAGGCAAGGTAGATAAATCTCCTTTCTTTATCATATCATGTTGATCAACTCTAATTGTTTCTACAACTGTTTTCGTAATACTTTGGATATCCAATGATGCTTCTTTAGCTGCTTTCAAAGCTAATTGTCGTTCTTTTCTATCAGTGATACATTCAAGAAGTTTGGAATAAGTTGTGACTTGACATGCTGGTGGAAGGTGAGATACATATGGAGCTACTAACTCGATCTCTTTCCAATCAATCAAGTATTTAATATATTCTTCAAGAACAGAAATGGCAAAACCTCGTCTAGAGTCGGTATCGATTAATTTTAACTCGGTGAGAAACAGAACAACATGAGCAAAGAATCGGCAAATTTGGGGTCTTATTTCATTCTCAATTGAATTGTTTCGAATCCAATCAATCATAAACTCCAAAGCCCCTTCAATATCCTCTAAGATAATCATTTTCTGCAATGCTTGGTGGCACTTTTCTTCCATAGAAATATTTTCATTTTTAAAGCAAGCATCAGCTTCACGGAAAATATCGACAAAACTTTTTAAATTACTCCAGTATTCATCGGGCAAATCAACTGAACTTCTCCTAAAATTTTCAATAGGACCTGATCCGCGGGCAGTGACAATATTTGGCAAATAGGTATGACGAAGTTCTTGTTCAATGAGACAGTCGAGAGAGGCTCTAATAAGTAACCAAAGTCTATCAGACCATCGAGTAAGAAGTGATAAAGCTGGCTTTAAATTACCACAAAGAGCACCAATAACTGCTGATTCATATACTGATTGATTGGTGTTATCCATTTGAGAGTATTTGAAGCAAGTATATTTCCAAAGATCACGACAAGCATTACCTTGCACAACTAGCATACCTTCATCTTCAGTTAGCCCTTCCTTGAAGTTGAGATCATCAAATAAAATCCAACCATCTAAAACAGCAGCTAACCAATGATGACCAAGTTTTTCTGCTATTTCTTTGGCAAAATCCAATCTTCCAGCTCTAAGATAACGAAGAATATGCTTGAATAACCTATTTTCATCTTCTTTATCAAGATCATGCAGCGGACGGTTACTTCTGATTGGAGCATCAGGATCCATTTCTAGACAATGTTGACTGTCAGTAATAGTCAACTGCCGATTTTTTATACTATGCAATGTATTCTCCCAGCTATGAGGTCCTTCGGAATAGAATTCCATTTTATCACAGTACTTTTCGGAATCCATGTCTTCTTGTTCATTTCGTTCTAGCCAATCAATTACAAGTTGCATGGTTCTAGCATTGATGTCACGTTCAAAGAAAGCATCAATTACTTCTTGGTCACTCATTTTTTTATTAGCTGCATCAACCATCATATCTTCAGCGTCGGACATTTCTAGTTGAGAGTTTTCTATAAAATAAAATGAAATGCATTATTAAGTGAGTAGAAATCAAAGGAAAAAAAGAGAGTTGAATATTTACCAGCACTTTTAACTCGATCTTCAAAGAGACCTCTTATGATTCTCCATGAGTTGCGTTCGGATCGTAAAAGGGTTTCCATTCTGGGTGGTAAAGTGGTCACATCTTTAGGATCCATGGGTTGACCCGTTTTAAGTGACATAAGAACTGAGAGATGATCACAACACTGTTTTTCATATTCTTCAGCAAGTGTGAATAGATCCAAATCTTCATCGAGTCGTTTCTTGGATTCTAGAAACGATTTAAATAAAGTGTAACATGGAAATACTTGTTCCCTAATTTCTGGCGTATCTTCTTGAGGCAAAAGAAATGGAGAAGTTGGTGCTAAAGGAAAAAGGAATGGAAAGAATGCATTAGTTATCAATAGGCTTTATAAAAAAATTAGGCAAAGGAAAAACTCAATTCAAGTTTACTTACATAAAATCTGGCGAAAAGATGATGAAAAGGTAATATTACTGAGGTCAGCTTGTCGACTAGTTGACAGAAGATTGGCATAACGACTCCGAGAAGATCTAACGGCAGGAGATTGAGCAACCATGGAGTTGTAATGACTTGAATTTAAAGAAAAGTTCATTCTACTTGTATCCATGATGAAAGGTTATAAAAATGATCAAACTATTAATAATTAATGTCAAGAAGAAGAGATAAATTGAACAATTAAATTTTACCCGCTTTCATTAAACAAAATGTGTCTCCCAGGCTTGAAACAGATGACAATACTATCGATACAAACCATCGATACTAACAACCGCCATTTACAAAATAGTTAACAGATTCATTTAAGATTATCATTTATCATTATAATTTAGATTAGTCTTAATTTTCCAATCAAACCCAACAAATGTTTGATTTAGGAAATGTAATTTTACCAGGAAATTACATTAATAAAATAGTAAATTGACTAATTTTAAAAGAGCACAAAATTAATTGCATCCTTTCAATGTTTTGAATGTTGTTGAACTATTAAGAGGCACGGGTTTCCCAATACATTTGTTTAATCGAGTGAATAAATTTAAATGAAAAATCAAATTAATTGTTCATCTTACCTTTGATTATGTTGGAACAGAAACAAATTAAAATGAAAAGCACAAAGTAAACAAGAGAAGAAGAAAGAACCAAAATTAAAAGCAAACTTTAAACAATGGTTAACACATCATCCTTAACCCATGTAAACCTGGAAAACAAGGAGCAACTCTAGTTGAAAATAAAAGCCCAACTGGAAAGGTAACAATTATTATTGTGTTAGACATTAATTTAATCTAGTAAAATACAATATTAACTTAAGCTGTGTTTGGTTAAATCATTATTAAAATGGTTTTCACTAAAGTCAACAAGACAACAAATTGAAAGGAGCGAGTAAAAACAATGTTTAAGCCTCAATACATCAATGATCAAAGCTACAGCAGAGGTAAAAAAAGGTTGTTTCATTTTCAGATGAAAATGAAAAGGTAGGAAAATTGCCGATTCCAACAAAATTAACTATTTACCTTTAACTACAAAAAGACCATAACAATTGAAAAAACTCAACCAATGGAAAATATTCTATTGATTTAGTCAAATGTTGAGTGAACCCAAAAAACCAGAGCAATACAGTTAAACCTAACAATAAAGCAAGTGAAGATCAATTATGCCTCGACATTTCCAAGAGATTCACTCTTTTCGGACACAAATCTTTCCATCTGATGAACAGTAATTATCCAATAAGAATCTTTTATAATACAAATTTATTAAATTTAAATCAATACAAATGATTGGAAAACAGTGAAAATAATTTTACAAATAAAAGCTAAACCACAATCCAGTCGACATCTCTTATCCTCGATGCGGTAAATAATCGCGAGTGTGTTTGGTATTTATTGTTACATTGCGAGAACAACATGAACCATAATATTGTCTGATATTGAAATTGACTAAAGTTTTGACCCATTCATCGCCTTCGAAAGAATACCTTCTCTCTGGAAGAGCAGCTTTGATTTTTGCCTGTAAACCAGAGTTTAAAATCATTTCTCTCCTCTTATTGAGCAAACCTCTTGTATCCTTATGTGGACACCAGAAGTGTCTACACTCGGTTGGATGGAAATGTCTCGAAGAAATCAAATCAACAGAAATAGAGAAAAGATCATCGCGTTCATCGTTCATAAACATTCTCGTACGAATAGCAAAGCAATCGCCTTCTTTAAAGTTAGTCATGAGAGTTTCATTTGTAACGGGACTTGTATCATATCTGTTGAATCACAGTAAATGTATTAGTTCAATGAATTTCAACAATAATCATCTTACCTGTATTCATAATCTGTATTCTCTAACCAGAAAGGGAAATCCTCTTTGTGAATGTAACTGTTGAATATGTGTTTACTGGGTATTCCAGTGAACTCTGCCAGCTATAATTGTTTCAATTAGCAAATAATATCAAATGAAAATTGAGATGTTTAGAGTGAAAATCTAATGGTCTTACCTTTCGAAACAAAAGTTGTTGTTTATATTCACAGCTATCATCTGTCCAGTCAATGACAATGTCATGATAGTCTTCATCACCCAATTTCACTTTTATAGTTGTTTCGGTCGAGTCATTGTCTTCACTCATTTCAAACAGAAATTATCAAAGATGAATGATTTTTGTAAATGTAAACACATATGTATAAGGTCTTTGTTTGGGTTACAGTAAAGCTACAAAATGGTCAAAGCAAATGTTAACTCAAAAACCAGCTTTGACCTGCCCTGTTGCTCCATTTAAAGGTTTCCCTCAAAACCGCCTAAAACAAATTTCCAAATACAAAATGGTTAACAACTGTAAATCGAATCAAACTCCTAAAATAATATCAAGCTAAATGACTAACAATCAACAAATAACAATAAAGATTTTCTTACAATAAAAATATTAGAAAACACTTTTGTCTAAAAAATAAACTTTGGCTTATTTGCAAGTAAAATCATTCATCTCCGGTTATTTTGGTTTGGCTGGTTTAAACATCTGTTTTGACCAGAAAACCCAATTTTGAAGGTTCGATTTTCTGTAAAAATATTCTGCAAGATTTCGAATTTCAAGATTTTAAGGCCAATATTTCGTCTAGTCACTTGAACATAAGCGATGAAAAGTCCAGAGACTCGGAAAATGGTTCGAAACTCTAAAGCTATTCACTGTTGAGTTTTCATCTCATCAAGTTTCATTGAAAACTAAAATTGATTTTTGTATGAAATTTCAATTGGAAAACATTTTCTTGGTTAAATAGGTTTCAAGCAAAGGCGATTGAGACGGACATTTACAGTCACCTAAGATTCAATTCTTTTATTTAGATGACGATTAAAGTGAAAAATAAAAGCCAAAATTGTGTCCGAAATTTGTAAATAAAATAACCAAAAGAAGCCAAATATAGAAGTTATTGAAAATTTGTGCAAGAAAAGTGTTTGAAATCCATTTGGATAATAGAATGTGAAAGAAGGAATTAGATGAAACTATCATTTATTCAAGAGATGTTATCGCTCTTTTAGCAACTTAACAGTTTATCAATTTGAGGAAAAATTTTATTCCTAAGATAATCTTTTCCTTATCCCATGCTATTCACCAACAGAATTCAATTGTTTTTTCCTCTTCTCCTCTCTTCCTTTTCATTTAAAGCTTGGTAAAGCAAATTCATTGTAAATCTCATCTCAACTTTAGAATTGTTTTTCACCAGTAAAAAAGGTGATTTTCAATGAAAAAAAATGTTATCCTTAACCATTACCAATTCATACATATAAAGTGATTTCCAGGAAAGAGATAACTTTCAATGAAACCTTAAACTCTGATGACCATTTTTATCTTCATTTTTGGGCAACTCTTTTCCATCCAATATTGGGACAAAGGTTGATATAATGTTGGCTCTGGGAGGTGAAAGGGATTTCATTGTGATAAGCAAAATATAAATTATCAGCCAAATAGCAGTTTAACTTTTATCAAGCTTTCAATGAAATAAACAATAAAAGGTAAAAATCATTTCTTTTTTTCTCTCATTTTTTTACATTTTCCAACCTTTAATCATGGTAATCTTATTGTCAGGCAACATTTTAAATTCTTGCATTTTCTTGTCAAATGTATAATGATAATGATATTGTTATTGTTATCCAGCGGGAAATAACAGACATTTAACTTGCTTTTTATAAACAGTCAAAGAAGAAAACATTTATTTCGATATAAACACAGCTTTAAACATGTTAGCGAATAATTTTCAAGCTTGATTGTTTAGAATAATCATGATGGCTTTACGACACTAAATTTGAGTTTCAGGCCAAGTTCAATATTCACAATTTATCATTGTAATCTTGGTAAACTTGAGAATAGATTTTATGATAAAAGATAATAATATGTCTTGTTTAATGGTTTCATGTTTTCCTTTCCATTCGTTGATTGTTGTGACAAATTGTAATTGGAATCATTTCTGGGCATAAAATGGTTTGATTGATTGTAAATATTTCTTTAAATGAATTTCAAAAAGTCGAGAAAATGCAATATTTATTCTGCTCAAATTAGTTCGAGTTGTTTCAATAATGATCAGTAGCCGATCAAGGTAAACGAAAGATATCAGCCACGAAACATAAACTATCAAAATCTCAAATCATTATGTTTCAAGCTTATTCCTGATATAAATCGCATATACTTTCGAGTCTTCAGATCTTTGCAAAATGATTTAAAGAGAGATTTATTTTGCGAAATTGTATCGAAATTGACCGAAGTTGTGAATTTCTTTTCGTCGAGTCCATTTGCTGGTTTAGGTTCGAATTAGCAGAAGACAAGAGTAACCTCCAAAGTGTGATCTTATCTTTCAATGCATTCACTATTCCTTCAAATGAATATAAACTTTTCTGAAAGGTCAAATAATTATTCCTGTTTCAATACAAGATTAGTATTGTGGAGAAAACTTTTCTTGACAAAAATTGAATGATTGATTCAATAAATTTCGGTTACCATTGAATAAAAAAAATGAATTGCTTGTCTCGAAAAGTGGTAAAAAAATTTGATTACAGACAGATCGTGAAATCCAGGATTACAAATCGATAATAATTTGGGCTGACCTTCCATGTTTTCATGAATTTCCATTTTAACGTTCCATTGACTAGCTACATTGTATTCATATTTGCTAGTTAAACAAAAAACAATTAATTGATTGACGAAACCCTGAAACCTAATTGAATCTGGGCATCTGGGAATGGAAAGCAGCTTTACGCCTTTTCTCGAACTGATTTCAACGAAGAGAAATCATTTTTAGTGAAAACATTGAAAGTTGCAATTGAAATGTTTCTACCACCAAGTCCGACTACATCCAAGAAAATAATTCTAGATGGATACATTTTACCCTCGAAATACCTTCTTGGACCAGTAACCAAAATCTTTCTCTTGTTTACCACTGCCCTTTGCCCTGCTTTCAAAATCGTCTATTTTTCTATTTTCTCTCTCCCATTTTGTGTTTTCACGACAAAGGTATCGACCTTTCAATGCGTTCATATCTCTTTAGCTGTAATCCTGTTGGCACTTAAAGTTTTGTTGGTTCTGTTTGGGTTTGATTTAAATCATTTTAAAAAATTCATTTCCACCATTGAATTGCTATCTATTGCACCTGATTATTCCGCTGTTAGAACAATAAAACGAAATCGTCTATCGAATCTAATCATTCTTGCTGTACCATTTATCGGTAACACAATTATTCGCATGCTTTACATGTTAACATACAACCTTGGCGTAGCTAAAGCCACTTTGCTTATCATTAATGAATTTTTCATCACAATTGGAACATTATTTCTTCTCAACATGATTTGCAACATTTGCATCTGTTTAAAGGCTGCTTTCAATCAGATAAACTCAGAAATCGCTGCTTTGAACGAAACATCTAAACAATTGGTCAGTTCATTCGATAAAATCAGACATTTGAGACAAAAGTACAGTTATGCAGTTCGATCGACCAAAAATGCTGAGCAATTGTTTCGCTGCTTCATAACTCTATTTTACATTGAATACTTTTCTTTTAACATATTGAATATAGTTAGATTATTTGGACCAATGACTAAAATTGAACCAATTTTCCTATTGGCCATACTTATCCAAACAATTCATTTGATGCTCTTGACTTATAACTTGGTCTCAGTGAATAACTTATCTCGTCAAGGACTGGAAGACTTGTGAAGGGTAGGAAAATTGGTCTCATTCAAACTGTTCAATGGATTGGTTTTCATTTCAATTCAGCTCTTAAAAGCTTTTCAATTATTCATTTCTTTCATTGTTTTAACTACTTTTCAAATTCATATTTAACTTAAATTTTTGTATTCTCATTGCTTTAGCAATTTCAATTCTTACATTTCAGTTCTGTGCTCTTTGTTTGTTTACTCAAGATAGATTTCATGTGTACTTCAGGTGAAGCTCTTAGGAGCTCTTAAGCCTCAAAATCTGACCACAATATGGTCGTAAATCTGGTCTAAACAAGACTAAAATTTAAGCTCAAAAATTGTGCATAAAAAGAAAGAGTTAACTTTTTCCCTTTCTTTTTCTTCATCTTATCTTAGCTTGTAGCTGCTAATCCCTTTGTACGTACAAAGGCTACGGTTACAAACAAGGGTGAAAAAGTTGTCTCAAGACAATATTGCTAAGGGTACAAGATACCTAAAAAAGTGGCGTCATAGCCTTTATCAGTATTAATTGTTATCTTGTCACCATCAACCCAAAGTCGACAAACAAAGACAGAGATTTTTAATTTCTTACTTAATTTCCCTCCAATTTGATTCCTTTTGTTTCCCCTTTAAGATAAATAGAGATATCTTTAGATATTTTGTTTAACTGTTAATTTGTTCTCAAACTGACAAGTTCACCTTCAACATTAAGCTTTTGTAAGCTATTCAAATTCATTAAAAAACGTTAAAATTAACCTTTGTTCTCAAGTAAATCAGTTCCTTTTCAATTTTAATAAAAACTTCAAGTTAAGTTAATACTCGAAACGAGTCTACAATTGTTTTACTTGTGATCTTAACACAATCTTATGTCTTCGCGACTCAAGGGTTCCAGCCCCGAATAATTGTGTTCATAGCTTCAGCTATCTTCTTCATCTCTCTGAGATCTAAAAGTCGTGTAAGTGTTAAACTAAACAGTGTTGACCGATCTGGATGAGAATCCACGATACGAACTAAAAACTTGTAGTGAAAGCAAGTTGTGCAGTCTTCGAAGTTAGGCCTCTTCTGAGATACATTTTCCTTTCACTTGGCGACCACGGCAGGATCTCCGTCCGTGTCCCAACCTGTTCTGTTTGTCATTTGCATGACCCATACCTTATGGTATTTCAATTTCCAGTTTCCCAATTACGATAAGTAACCTTTTAACCTTCAAAAACCCTTACGCTTTTTTAAGCTCATTCCTGTTGAACTCTTTCCTTATTCCTATTCATACCTTTGAGTATTTCATCGTTCAACTCTTCAAAGTTCACTGTTCACTTAAAACAAAGTCACGCCATCAGAGCATTTCCCGTTGAACTCTATTTCCTTATCACTCTGTGATTTACTATTGCCTTGTGCCCTTCGACTCAATTGAAGTCAATTCCGTTCAACTCTTAATTCAATTCAAAGAACAATTAATTCAACAAATTCAACAAAAATTTCAAATTCATCACTTTATCCGGTGTTCCTGACAATTCCAAAGTCATTCCTCAATTCAATTTCAATTTCAAAATTCAATTCCAAATTCAAATTTCAATTCAAATTCAATTCAAATTAAAATTAAACTCAAAAACATTCAAGTTAACCC